ACTGCCCTGCCTGGGCCAACCTCACAATTGTTGCCACACTTGAGCCCGAGCCCAGCAACGCTGCCACTTTGCCAATCCATCTCTCTGGGGGGTCTTCCTCTTTTTTTCTGACCCTGCACCTTTACTAAATATGATATACTTCTCCAGTGACTGGTCCCTCCTGACGATATGCCCAAAGTATGACAAACATGCTCTGGCCATTTTGGCTTCCAAGGAGCACTCTGACTGTACTTCTTACAACACAGATTTGTTTGTTCTGGGAGTTAGGACCTCAGCTATCATGTGTGCACACAGGCATGTGTGTATGGCTTTTAATTTTCATATAATTTTGAAAAGTTGCAAAAAGAGTAAAACCATTGCCATGCATATAAGGTGATGGAAAATACCATGACTTGAAACAAATGCACCTAAGTCCTCAAAATGACATCTTGCTTTTAACATATTTTAAAGAGGTGTTTTGTAGAAGATTTGCCCAGTGCCTTATATTTGATTTCTTGACTACTGCTACCATGGGTGTTGGTTATGAATCCAAGTATAAAATGGAATCCATGGCAACTTCAAACCCCTAGTTCTAAGTTTTGATTGCCATTTATATTTCAGAATATTAGGAAAGAATCTCTTTCACTGCCACTGAGTGAATTCCAACTCATAGCAAACCTCATATTTCTCCTGCAGAGTGGCTGGTGGGTTTGAACTGCTGACCTAGCTTGTTTTACAACGCCATCAAGCTCAGTGTAGTTTCTCAGGAGTGTTGTGGATACCTGAAAGTGTAGAGGGAACTTGTGAGAAGTGTTAAGAAAATCTACTGTCATGGGGAGAAGAGTAGAGTACACATACTCATTTAAATTTAACATTTTAAATCTATATTATTAAAAATTTCTCAAATGGTAAATGAGTAAATTTTCTAGTGCTTAAAATTTTAGAAAGTTGTAGACGAGTGATATTATATAAGGCTCTCATACAACAAGAAAGACAGTACAGTTGAATAATAGTATTGTTACATAAGGTGTTTTTCCATGTTTATAACTTTATTCACAGAGCTCTTAATGAAATGTGGAAGTGTCAGAACATGCTTAGGAGTCACGTACGTGAACTACTGGATTTGCACAAGCAGCCTACAGTAGGTTCATGATTTGTTTAAATCCATAGTTTATTATAGTGATTGATCGATGTTTCTGTAGTTTTGTAAGTGAACTGTATCTTAGATATGTTACTTTTCTAAATATTAAACATACTTCTAGAGTAACTTTCCATTTTAACTGAATATAGCAAAGTCTTATTTTGTGGTATGGGCAAAGAAACGTTTTCTGTTTTTTTACCACCTTTGGACATTGTGTTTATACCATTTATTAATTTTCAATTAATTCTAATCCTTAAGGTGAATGTTACTGTTGTTGTTGTTGTTGTGTGCTGTGGAGTTGGTTCCAGCTCATAGCGACCCTGTACAGGGTTTCTGAAGCTGTAAATCTTTACGGGAGCAGAAAGCCTCATCTTTATCCCGTAGAACAGCTGGTAGTTTTGAACTGCTGGACTGTGAGATTAGCAGCCCAATTCGTAACCACTATACTAACAGAGCTCCTTTGAATGTTACTAGAAGTCCTGTTTATTTTCAATGCATGATCCTTGGTCTTTCATTGCAGAATCAATGTCTCACTTGGGTTTCAGTTCTGTTTGTCTGTCTGTGTTAACAAAGATGTTCTGTCCAAAGTTTGCTAGGCAGAGAGAATTTGAATGATTTTCTCAATATACTTATGAAATTCATTTGAACTTATGTTTAACCAGGGGCCCATAGACAAACTCCTAAAGGGATCAAGGACAAAAGAACAGGAATTGACAAACTCTTTTTATAAAGGACTGTTGTTGTTAAGTGCCATCGAGTCAATTCCAGCCTATAGTGACCCTGTATAGGGTTTCCGAGGAGCAACTGGTGAGCTTGAACTGCTTAACTTGCAGTTGAAACAGCTTTGTAGTATGGCGCATTAACCCACAGTGCCATACCAGGACTCATAAAGAATGGGTAAACATGAGTAGCCATGGTACTGTAGTTTACCAACTCCAGATTCAAATAACTTAAAATTTCAAACAAATGATAAAGTAATACTTAATTGCAGTGAAAGAAAGGGAAGTACTATTTGGAGAGGAGTTTATCCTGAAGATACTTAAACAGGCCAAAAATAGATAATGTAATTATTACAGAAAAAATTTTTTTGTTCTTCACATTCTAAAAAAGTTTCTGTGGTGTGTAGTTTGATACTTGCTTGTATTATCTTCTGACAAGATAACTTCCCTATGAATATTATGTACTATTTTAACATTTTCATACTCTCCTACTAGCTAGCATCTTTCTATTTGTCTTAATAGCTGTTGCTATTTGTATTAATAGTTATTAATATTAAATGTTGTTATTAGTATTTAATAACTATTGTAATTCTTTGCTATTAGCCTTGTGTGTAGAAATGATTTGGTATTGTCCAGTGAATGGATTGTGATGAATTGATATTTACTTTATGGAAAAGGTACAATAATGTTGGTTTTTCTTACAGAAATTTGTTAACTCCTATATCTACTCTTTTTATTTATTTTCATTTCAGTCAGAGGCTAACTGTTCTGCCATGTTTGGAAAACTGATGACCATAGCAAGTGAGTATGTTAGTCACTCAGTAGAAGTGTATTATATTTGACCTCAAATCAGACAAATAATTTACCCAATGGTACTATCCGTTTAATACTAAGTAGGAGAAGATAATCCTTACCTTAACTTTATTTGTAAAAGCTAGTTAGGCTGATTTTCTTTCAATGGCTCAATATTAACTTTAAGGCTACTTGCTTTAAGTTTAGATTTGTTTTCTTTTAGTAATGTTAATTTTCTTAATTATGTAGAAAATCTGCCTGACCCAGGGAAAGCACAAGATTTTGTGAAGAAATTTAACCAGGTCCTTGGTGATGATGAGAAGCTGCGATCCCAATTAGAGTTATTAATCAGCCCAACCTGTTCTTGCAAACAGGCAGACATTTGTGTGGTCAGTAAATTATATTTTTATGTATGTCTTCCTTTATTATCTGTGGTGCTTCTAGCTCTCTTTCCTCCAGGAAAATGTTGAGGAGGTAGGGTGATGATTGGTCCTGGGAATTTGAGGAATACAGTGCATTGTATTTAGCAAACATTTCTTGAGTGAATTATAAGAATTTTTACAGGCTTATGCATGCGTTCATTTTCTCATATATGAATGTAGAAGTATCCCATATCAATAAGTCCACAATAGCAGCATACCCTTATTTGTGATTTCATTTATAGATAATATCATTCTTTTATAGACTTTTGATCTTATTCTAAGATTCCTTACTTTATAGAAAACCAGTCACTGACATTATCAGTGAACACTTTTTTTTTTTTTTTTTTATTCCATCAATATTATTTACTACCAGTTTGACTTTTTGTAAGTTATTAAACATTTCTGGGCCTTGTGTTCTTTATTTAACCAATATTATCAACTTCATAGGATATTTAAGAGAATAAGGTAAATGGATTCATTTTAATATAAATTGCCTAATACAGGAGTTCACACTGCCCTGTAGGATTTAAATCATAATAGTTTTTACGTTATTACATATATGTGACAAACATGCTTTGGATGAGGGCTATCAGGATGGATAAGAGAGAATTATTACAGTTATGTATGTTAAATTTTGCTCCAGAAAGGATGATGTTTCTGGATAGATATTAAAATCATAAGTAATAGGAACTATAATAAATAAATATATCAGCCATTCTTGATGGAGTATGATAAGGCTTTCTGCTTTTGTAAAGATTTATAGCTTCAGAAACCCTACACTGGTTCTCTGTGAGTTAGTATCAACTTTGTGGCAGTGATTTTGTCTTGGTTTATAGATACAGCATGGTCTGGTTAAGATCAAGAAGGTATTATTTTATTCAGTCTAGCATATAAGGACTCTTGTTGTTAAGTGCTGTCAAGCCCGTTCCAACTCATACTGAACCAATATAGGGTTTCTGAGGCTTTAAATCTTTGAGGGAACAGAAAGCCTTATCTTTTTCCCATGCAGCAGGTTGCTGGCTTGAACTACAGACCTTGTGGTTCACAGTCCAGTGCTTATCATGTGTAGCCAATATTTCCCCACAGGGTTCTATTGTTGTTAGGTGCCATTTGTAGGTACCAACTCATAACAACCTTATGCAGAAAAGAACGAAACACTGCCCAGTCCTGCACCAATCTCACAATTGTTACTGCACTTGAGCCCGTTGCTGCTGCCACTGTGACAGTCCCTCTTGTTGGGGGTCTTCCTCTTTTTTACTGACCCTCCACTTTGTCAAGCATGATGTCCTTTTCCAGGGAATGGTCCCTCTTGATAGTATGTCCGAAGTTGAAAGACAAAGTATGGCCATCCTGGCTTTTAAGGAACATCCTGGCTATGCTTATTCCAACACATATTGGTTTGTTCTTTTGACAGTACGAGGTACTTTTATTATTATTTTCCAGTACCATAACTCAAATGCATCAATTCTTTTACAGTCTTCCTTATTCCATGTATATGAGGCTGTAAAAAATAATCATGTTTTGGGTCAGGCACACCTTACACCTTAAACTGAAAGAGGTCTTGTGCAGCAGATTTGCCCACTGCAATACATCATTTGATATCTTGACTGCTGCTTTCATGAGGGTTGATGGTTGATCCGAGCAAAATGAAGCCTTTGACAACTTTAGTCTTCTCTCCATTTATCTTGATGCTATTTATCAGTCCAACTGTAAGGATTTTTGTTTTCTTTACAACCCATACAGAAGACTGTGGTCTTTGATCTTCATCAGTATTTTAAGTCTGTTTTCAGCAAACAAGGTTGTTCATCTGCTTATGGTAGGTTATTATGAGTCTTCCTCCAATCCTGATGCCACTTTTTTCTTCACGTAACCAAGTTTTCTTGGATTATTTGCTCAGTATACGGATTGAATAAGTTTGGTGAAAGAATACAACCCTGGTGCAAATTTTTCCTAATTTTAAACCATTCAGTATTCTCTTTTGTTTGTACATAGCCTCTTGGTCCATGTACAGGTTCCTCATGAGCACAGTTAAGTGTTCTGGAATATTCATTCTCAACAGTGTTATCCATAGCGTCTCATGATCCACACAATCGAAAGCCTTTGCATAGTCAGTAAAGCACAGGTAAACATTTTTCTAGTATTCTCAGGTTTCAGCCAAGATCCCTCTGTCATCAGCGGTGATATCCCTTACTTCATGTCCCAATCTGAATCTGACATAAACCTCTGGCAGCTCCCTGCCAATGTACTGCTGCAGTTGCTTTTGAATTATCTTTAGCAAATTTTTACTTGCGTGTGATATTAATGATACTGTCTTTTAATTTCTGCATTCCTATGGGTCATGTCTCTGGTGTAGGCACAAATATGGATCTCTTGCTATCAGTTGGTCAGGTAGCTGCCTTCCAAATTTCTTGGCATAGATAAGTGAGTGTTTTCAGTGCTGCCTCAGTTTATTTGAAAGATTTCAGTTTTTACTCTTATCAATTCCCAGAGCCTTGTTCTTTGCCAGTAACTTAAGTGCAACTTAGACTTCTTTGTTCATATGCTACCTCTTGAAATGGTTGAACATCCACCATTTCTTTTTGGTATGGTGACTCTATTCCTTCCATCTTCTTTTGATGCTTTCTGCATTATTCAGTATTTTGCCCATAGAATCCTTCGATATTGCAAGTTGAGGCTTTAATTTTTTTCTCCAATTCTTTCAACTTGTGAAATGCTGAGGATGTTCTTCCTTTTTGGTTTTCTAACTGTAAGGTTTACACATTTTTTAAATTATATTTGACTTTGTCTTCTCCAGCTGTCCTTTGAAATTTTCTGTTCAGCTCTTGTACCTCCTTACTTCTTCCATTTGCTTTAGCATCTCTACACTGGAGACCCAAGTTTTCAGTCTCTTCTGACATTTGTTTTGGTCTTTTCCTTCTCTTATCAGTGACCTTTTGCTGTCTTCCTGTATGATGTGCTTGATGTCATCTTAAACTCTTCTGGTCTTTGGTATTTCATGTCCGGTGCATCAAATCTGTTCTTAAGATGATCTCTGAATTCAGGTGGGCTATATTCAAGGTCATATTTTGGCTCTCATGGACTTGTTTTAAGTTTCTTATTTAAGTTTCTTCATATAAACAGTTGATGGTCTGTTGCATAGTCTGCACTGGTCTCATTTTGGCTGATATTGCGCTTTCCCACCAACTGTTTCCACCTATGTAGCCAGTTTGATTTCTGTGTATTCCATCTGGTGCGTCTATGTGTATAGTCATCTTTATGTTGTATTAAAAAGAATTTGCAAAAAAAAAAAATCATTTGCAACGAACAA